GGCTGGAGTGCAGTGTTGTAATCTCAGTTCACTGCAACCTCCGTGTCCCAGGTTCAAGCTATTCTTCTGCCACAGCTTCCTGAGTAGCTGGGACTACAGGCATGCGCACCACGCCTGGCTAATTTTTGTATTTTTTGTAGAGACATGGTTTCAGCATGTTGGCCAGGATGGTCTCAAACTCCTGACCTCAAGTGATCTGGCCACCTCGGCCTCCCAAAGTGCTGGGATTATAGGCATGAGCCACTGAACCTGGCCTCACTGTTTGTAGTCTTTTGATTTCAGTTCCTCCTTTATAGTTTTTATTATTTCAAATATACTTATTTAGTTGGCTTATTTCTAGTATCCAAAGTTCCTTTAGGCATAGTCCTGTTATTTATATCTTCTGTTTCTCACTCCTGATGAATTGATTTTTCCCTTACATGTTTTATACTTTGGGACTGTGAGCTTTCATTAATAGAGTTTGTCTCTTGAATCCTGGCATCCAGGATGGAGGGTGTGTCCCTCTACAATGGTTTTGCAGTGTTTTAGAAATATCACAAACTTGTGTTTTAGAAATATCACAAACTTGGAGCTAATATTGAGTTAATTTCTCAGCTTGGAAGTTCTTAGACCATGTAGATAGGGTAAATTCAAATTCCAGAGCTGCCTGAGGATAGCTGTGATCACTATCACAGCTGCAGAGTGATCAATTTGACCATAAGACTTGTGACCAAAAAAGGATTTTATCAACTATAGCACCTTCATCTCATTGAGAGGCAAGCAGCTACCTAAGTACGTAGGCTCTGCAGCCCCTTTTCCCATTTTGGATGTGACTTTCACCCTTGAGAGCCTTGGGTGTCTGTAGGTCACTTTGATACGTAGAAGCCACATCCCCTTTCTCCCAGCAATCTTTTATTCTGTACTAGTGACCCCAACCCAGATGCAGTCCCACACAACAAAGGCAGCATACACATTACTCATCTGTGCTAACTATCCTGTTTCTAAGGAAACAGTGCAGCAGGAAACCATGCAAGGTCATTCTCAGGATGGTGTTAACCCTTTACTCACAGTTTTGCAGGTTGAAAACAACTTAAGATTTACTATGGGGTCCTCAGTTCTAACTTCCCACTCTGCACAGACCTAAGGCTTTGCATCTGCTCTGCCTGAACATTAAAATCACTATGTTACCAAGACTGCCATTACCAATTCCTTTCACCAAGGATAGCCATAATATTACCCTTTCTTTTTGGTCCTGTTAATTTCTTTTCTTTCTTTGAGAGTTCAGTTCAGCTCAGGATTTGAAAGGATGTTGCTCTCTTACCAAGCATTTGTAGATGCAGCCATGCATCACTTAATGATGAGGATGCATTCTAAGAAATGCATAATTGAGTGATTTCATCATTGTGCAAACACCATAGAGTGTACTTACACAAACCTAGATGGTATAGCCTACTCACATCTAGGCTATATGGTAGATAGCCTTTTGCTCCTAGGCTACAAACCTGTACAGCATGTGACTATACTGAATACTGTAGGCAATTATTACACAATGGTAAGTATTTGTGTATCTACACCCATCTAAACGTAGAAAAGGTACAGTAAAATTATAGTATAAAAGATTTAAAATGGTATGCCTTTATAGGGAACTTACCATGAATGGAGCTTGCAGGACTGGAAGTTTCTCTGGTTGAGTCAATGAGTGAGTGGTAAGTGAATGTGAAGGCCTAGGACATTACTGTACACTATGATAGACTTTAGAAACACTGTACACTTAGGCTACTCTAAATTTATGTAAAATTAAAAAAAAAAAAAAAAAAACCTTAGCTTACTGTAGCTTTCTTGGCCAGGGGCAGTGGCTCACACTTGTAATCCCAACACTTTGGGAGGCTGAGGAAGGCGGATGATGAGGTGAAGAGTTCCAAACCAGCCTGGCCAACATAGCGAAACCCCGTCTCTACTAAAAACACAAAAAAATTAGCTGAGTGCGGTGGCACACGCCTGTAATCCCAGGTACTTGGGAGGCTGAGGCAGGATAATTGCTTGAACCTGGGAGGCGGAGGTTGCGGTGAGCTGAGATTGCGCCACTGCACTCCAGCCTGGGCGACAGAGCGAGACTCTGTCTCGAAAAAAACTTTTAAAAACCTTTCTTACTTTATAAACTTCTAATTTTTAAAAAAAAATTTGACTTTTTTGTAATAACAGCTTAAAACACAACCACATTGTATAGTGGTATGAAAATATTTTGTTTCTTTATATTCTTCTTTTATATGCTTTTTTCTATTTAAAAAAACATTTTGGACAGGTGCGGTGGCTCATGCCTGTAATCCCAGCACTTTGGGAGGCAAAGGTGGGCAAATCACCTGAAGTCAGGAGTTTGAGACCATCCTGGCCAACATGGTGAAACCTTGTCTCTACTGAAAATACAAAATTATCTTGGCATGGCGGCACATGTCTGTAGTCCCAGCTACTTGGAAAGCTGAGGCAAGAGAATCGCTTGAACCCGGGAGGCAGAGGTTGCAGTGCGTGGAGATCGTGCCATTGCATTTCAGCCTGGTCAACAAGAGCAAAACTCTGTCTCTAGAAGAAAAAAAGGTTAAAAATTTATTTTTTTTTTTTTTTTTTTGAGATAGGGTCTTGCTCTTGTCGCCCAGGCTGAGTGCAGTGGCCCTTTGCAGCCTCAACCTCCTGGCCTCAAGCAGCTTTCTCACTTCAGCCTAAGGAGTAGCTGGGACCACAGGCACATACCACCAAACCTGGCTAATTTTTATTTATTTTTTATTTATTTTATAGAGGTGGGGCCTTGCTGTGTTGCCTGTGCTTGTCTCAAACTCCTGGGCTCAAGCAATCCACCCGCCTTGGCTTCCCATAGTGCTGGAATTACCAGAGTGTGCCACCACACCCAGCCTTTTTTCACTTTTTAAACTTTTTTGTTAAAAACTAAGACATAAACACACACCTAGGCCTACACAGCGTCAGGATAATCAATATCACTGTCTTCCAACTTGAAACATCTTGTCCCACTGAAAGGTCTTCAAGAGCAATAACACACATGAAGCTGTCATCTTCTATAACAATGCCTTCTTCTGGATGCCTCCTGAAGGACTTGCCTGAGGCTGTTTTACAGTTTACTTTTTATAAGTAAAAGCAGAACACTCTAAAATAACAATAAAAAATATAGCATAGTAAATACATAAACCAGTAACATAGTGGCTTATTATCATCAAGTATTGTATACAGTACGTAATTGTATTGCTATACTTCTATACAACTGACAGTAGATTGATTTACACCAGCATCACCACAAACTCATGAGTAATTTGTTGCACTATGGCATTATGATGCCTGTGATATCACTAAGGTGACAGTAATTTTTCAGCTCCATTGTGATCATATAGGACTGCCATCATATATGTGGTCCATTGTGACTGAAACATCTTCCCACGCATGACAGTATTTTTAGCATTTCTAGGTGTTTGTAGCAGGAGATTTTCAAATTATCCCATTCAAAATACTACATTAGAAGAAATTTTGAAACAACTTAAAACAAAATTTAAAATTCCTCCCTGTCCCTTCGCAATAAAGAAACTACTTAACCTGAATTCAAATTGTTATTCCACCTTTTTTTTTTTCTTTTTGAGACAGAGTCTCACTCTGTGGCCAGGCTGGAGTGCAGTGACGCGGTCTTGGCTCACTACAACCTCCGCCTCCTGGGTTCAAGTGATTCTCCTGCCTCAGCCTCCTGAGTAGCTGGAACTACAGGCACGTGCCACCATGCCCAGCTAATTTTTTTTTTTTGTATTTTTAGTAGAGAGGGGTTTTACCATATTGGCCAGGATGATCTCTATCTCTTGACCTCATGATCTGCCCGCCTTGGGCCTCCAAAAGTGCTGGGATTACAGGCGTGAGCCACCGCGCCTGGCAGACTCCACCCTTTTTTAGCAATATAATCTTTGGCAAGGTACTTGACTCCCTGAACTTTCTCCAAGCATTATGTGGTGGTATTAATATCTCTTTTGAGGTGTCATTATGAGATTTAGTTATTGTCATTCAAACATCCTAGAATGTTTTACGAAGTTCTAAATGAGCCCCTGCCTAGGTAGGTCTTTAGCCTCCCCTCACCATTTCCCAGAAATAGACCAGCATAGGCTGGGTGCGGTGGCTCACACTTGTAATCCCAGCACTTTGGGAGGCCAAGGCGGGTGGATCATCTGAGATCAGGAGTTCAAGACCAGCCTGACCAACATAGTAAAACCCCATCTCTACTAAAAATATAAAAATTAGCCAGGCAGAGTGGCACATACCTGTAATCCCAGCTATTTGGGAGTCTGAGGCAGGAGAATTGCTTGAACCCGGGAGGCGGAGGTTGTAGTAAGCCAAGATTGCACCATTGCACTCCAGCCTAGGCAACAGAATGAGACTCCGTCTCAAAAAATAAATAAATAAATAAATAAATAAACCAGCATAGTAAACTACTTGTAAGTTTCTTAATTGTTCTTGTTCTCTGTAGCTTCCAATCCTTTATACATAGTGTTCCTGTTTTTAAATACTCTCTTCCCCTTGTTCATCTTCCACCTAACTGTTCTTACTAATCCTTCGTGATTAGCTTAGATATCAGTTTCTCCAGGAAGTTGTCCTCACTGATCCCCAAACCTGGGTTAGGTTCCCCGGAGTCCTGTGTGCCTTCTGTAACACCTTGTGTTTTCCTATCATAGCTCTCAGCAGCCTGTTTACTTGTCTGAACGTTACTTGAGAGGAAAAATTTTTGGCTGTTTTATTCACTATTGTCTCCCCAGCGCCTAACAAAGAACCTGGCACACAGCTCAATACATGGTAGCTATTGTTCTTATCAGCACCTTCATCTATCATAATTCTCAAATGTCTGGTTGTTGTATAAATAACTCTTAAGTATGCCAAGAAGCTTAGAGTTAAGTTACAAGACTGACAAGGGCATGCATTGTTTCAGAGCCATGTTTGGGACCTTTGTTTTTCACTTATTCAATCATTTTCCCTTTTTATACTAGGAACTGACCCAGGAGTGTGATGAAAAGAAATCCCAGTATGATAGCTGTGCAGCAGGCCTCGAAAGCAATCGGTCTAAATTAGAACAGGTAAGAAGAGAGTTTTTATTTTAACAATTTAGCAAAAACTACCTGTGTACACACCTATAGTCCCACCTACTCAGGAGGCTGAAGCAGGAGGATCACTTGAGCCCAGGAGTTTGAGGCTACAGTGAGCTATGATCACACCACTGCATTCTAGCCTGGGCCACAGAACAAGACTCTGTCTCTAAAAAAAATGTTTTAAATACTGCCTGTGTGTGCACATTTTCACTACATCAATGTCAAAAGATTCCCAAATCTTTATCATCATCTCCCAAGCCTGTCTCCAAAGCTCCAGAGATCTTTATTTCTTTAATTTGTACACACTGAATTTCCCATCTGTACCACCCCCAACAAAGTACAAGGCTCATTATCTGCTGCCTGGCCTCCACAGAAACCTTTTACCTATTCTCTTGCTTCTACTCTTGCTCTCCTAAGGTTCATTCTCCATAGGGCAGCCTAAGAAACCTGTTTAAAATTTTTGCCACCCTTCATTGGCTTCCTATTGCACTTAAAATAAAATCTAACCACCAAACTGTGATCTACAAGGCCCCACCTACCTTATGAACTTCATGTCCATGTGCTCTACTCCTTATCCATGGAGCTTCAGCCACTCTGACCTTCTTCCTAAACTTCAGACAGGCCAAGCTTGTTTTCACTTGTGGGATTTTGCATGTACTCCTCCCTTCTGCATGATATACTCTGCTCCTAACTCTTTGCCCTCCTCTCTCCTTTTCTTCACTAGGTCTCAGCCTCAGTGTCTCCGCCTCTCAGAGATCTCTGATTACCTGATGTTATCCACTCTCCTTCCCAACCTCGCCCACCCAGTCCCTCTATCACATTCTACTGATGAATTTCCTTCATAGCACTTATCCCCATCTCAAATATCCTTCATTATGTTTCCTTGTTTATGTTGGTTTCTTCCACTTCAGTGAAAGCAGGGAACCTGCCCGTTCACTTCTGTGTTCTCAGCACTTAGAACAGTGCTGGACACCCAGTAGGTACTTAATAAATGTATGCTTGGGCCAGGTGCAGTGGATCATGCCTGTAATCCCAACACTTCAGGAGTCTAAGGTGGGAGGATCTCTTGAGGCCAGGAGTTCGAGATCAGCCTGGCCAACGTGGTGAAACCCCGTCTCTACTAAAAATACAAAAATTAGCCAGGCATGGTGGCATGTGCCTGTAGTCTCAGCTCCTCAGGAGGCTGAGGCACAAGAATGCTTAAACCTGCGAGGAGGAAGTTGCAGTGAGCCAAGACTGTACCACTGCACTCCATCCTGGGTGACAGAGCGAGACTCTGTCTCAAAAAATACAATTGGACTTGCAGGGGTGATATGAGTATTCTCTAGAAAAAGATTATTTCCTATTGTGATAGAATAAACAAAGTTAAAATTGCAGAAGAGAAAATGACTCTGATGGTAGTCCTTTGTTGTACATCTAAAGTCATCATCACCATGTCTGTCTCATTCTTTCGATAATGTTGCCTATCTAAAATTATATATTATAGGAAGTTAGAAGACTCCGTGAAGAATGTCTTCAAGAAGAAAGTAGATACCATTATACAAATTGTATGATTAAGGTAAGACAAAGTAGATCAAAAACATTTCTGAGTTTTTTCTGTATCAAAGTCTTCCCTAAAACTTAAGTCTTTCTGTTTAGAACCTAGAAGTTCAACTTCGTCGTGCTACTGATGAGATGAAGGCATATATCTCTTCTGATCAACAAGAAAAAAGAAAGGCAATTAGGCAAGTAATTTTGTTGTTTTATATTGAGATACTTCATATTTTCACCAATAAAAGTTTTATAAATAAGGTAGAATTATACAAATTTAGCATATTTAAGTAAGTAGACACTAAGATATTAATACTAAATCTTACTAAACATCTAGATATTTCAGCCCTGCTAAGTGGGAATACATATGATTTTATTTCTTGCTTGCTTACTTTTTGATTGTGGTGAAATATATAAAACATAAAATTTGCCACTTTACCCATTTTTAAGTATACAGTTCATTGGCATTGATTACATTCACAACATTGTACAGCCTTCACCACTGTATATGTAAAAAATTTTTTCATTATCTCAAACAAAAACTCTTATAACCATTAGGCAATAATTCTTCATTCCCCCTCACCCAGGAATATATATAATTTCATAATTGCTTTGTCATAAGCAGTAAAGTTGGTCTCTTTTTAAAGTCCCACATGGCCTAGACTGTAGTCATCTGCCTGCTAATTGTGCAGTGTAATGACTGCATTTTAGCTGGAAATTGTGTGATTGCAGTGTACCAGTCTTCAAAACAAGAAGGATGTATAAATACTGCTTAGTCCTTATATGGTGCTTTTTTTGCAATCCCAGCTTGTGGCATACTGTAATAAATCAAATCCTGCCTAAAAAAAATACATTTATGGTTGAATTGCTAGCTGTGATAAAATGCAGTCATTGAACAACATAAGCCTTCTTTGCCCCTCATCACAGTTCAAATGTTAAATATTTTGTTGTTACTATTCAGTAAAAATTCAGATAAAATGTAGGACTCACGTTTATTCTAGATTGCATTGAGATTTTGAGTGGCATGTACATTAATGTTATAAAAAGAGACTGGGCGTGGTGGTGAGTGCCCATAATCCCAGCTACTCAGGAGGCTGAGGCATGGAAATCACTTGAACCCGGGAAGCAGGGGCTGCAGTAAGCCGAGATCACGCCACTGCATTCCAACCTGAGCGACAGAGGGAGACTCTGTCTTAAAAAAAAAAAAAAGAAAGAAAGAAAAAAGGAATCTAAGAAATAGAGTGTCTTGCAGAGTCTGAATTTTTTTTCAATGTAATGCACTAGAATGCAAACCAGACTGAAAAGATTACACAAATAGAGCAGTGTTTTTTCTAATACTCTAACATACTAAACTAAAAATGTACTTATTCATATTATTTCATTGAATGTAAACTTCGTTCATATAAACCTATATGGCCAATGATAAGAAATGAGAAAAGTTAAATTTGTTCTTAAAAAATAAAAATTTTTATAAATTAAGTTCTATTTCTTCCAAAGTTATCGATATAAATAGTAAAGAAGGAAATAAGTGCTCTTGAACTATTGATTTTCTCATCTGTCTTCTAGCCAGAGATATGTAGATAGATAGATAGATATAGATATAGATATAGATATAGATATAGTTTTGTTTTGTTTTTTTTTTGAGACAGAGTGTTGCTCTGTCGCTCAGGCTGGAGTGCAGTGGCGCAGTCTCGGCTCACTGCAACCTCCGCCTCCCAGGTGCAAGTGTATTCTCCTGCCTCAGCCTCCCGAGTAGCTGGGATTACAGGCACATGCCACCACGTCTGGCTAATTTTTGTCATTTGTGTATTTTTAGTTTATATTTTTGTATTTTTGTATTTTTGTAGAGATGGGGTTTCACCATGTTAGCCAGGTTGGTCTCAAACTCCTGACCTCAAGTGAACCACCCTCCTTGGCCTCCCAGAGTGCTGGGATTACAGGCATGAGCCACCATGCCCCACCGAAAATGAGGATTCATCAGGACTAATTGCAAAATTTTCCTTTACTTAGAGTGCTATATTTTCTTTTTTTGTGGCTTATGATTTCTTGGAGTCCCAATTTTATATTGTTTACTTTTTTCTTAAATACTACAGTGTAGCTTTACACAGAAAAACAGTCTCTTCTTTGTTGTGTGTTCCTTTACCCTCATCCTTCAGTCTTTATCCTTAACATGTCACCTGCTTTAAATCTCACATTTTGTCTTAAATAGTATTGAAATATAATTTTGTTTATAAGTAAAATACAATGTTATTATGTTTTTAATTTTTACGTTAAAAGTATTATTTTTTTAGCTTACAAAAGAAATACTTGTAAGAACAAAAGTAACCATTATGAAGTAGTGTGCACAGAAGTTGAATGCTGTCCATATTGCCATGCCTCAGAAATGTCTACTATTAATACTTTGGTGTACATTATGCCATATTCTTTTCCCATGCGTGTGCTGATACATCTGTATATATGTGTGTTAGTTAATGCATGGGAAATGTTGTGTGCATGTGTGTATACACAAACGTATACATATATATGTATATAAAAATAAGATTAAACTGCACCCGAGTGTGGTGGCTCACACCTGTAATCCCAGCATTTGGGAGGCTGAGATGAGCGAATTGCTTGAGCCCAGGAGTTCAAGATCTGCCTGGGCAACATGGCAAAACCCTGTGTCTACCAAAAAACTACAAAAAAAATTAGCCCAATATGGTGACACATGTCTGTAATCCCAGTACCTGGGAGGCTAAAGTGGGAGATTCGCTTGGGCCAGGGAGGTGGAGGCTACAATGAGGTGTGATCATGCCACTGCACTCCAATCTGGGCAACAGTGTAAGACCTTGTCTCAAAGGAAAAAAAAAAAGATTAAACTACATATACTGTTTTTCTCTTGATCTAGAATATTTTCCGCTTCAGTATTTATAGATTTACCTCATTCTTTTGTATAACTCCTTATTATTTGTTTGAATAGATGTGCCATAATTTGCTTAAACATTTTCCCATCTACAGACATTTAGTTTGTTTGCATATTTTCATTATTATGAGCAATGGTGAAGTAAGTAGTCTGCTTCTATGTTTATTTAAGTTATGGGATATTTTTGTAGGATGACTTCCTAGAAGTAGAATTGTAAGATTAGGTGCTACTTAATGTTTATTTGAAATGTATATCCTTTCTCCTTTCTACAAGCCTCTTCAAAAACAATGTGTAATTTAAGCAAATGGGTTGCCATTGTTTTGAGGGTAGATTAACCAGAAATAGTATTTAGCATTTTAATTCTCTTAATTTCCTATGGAATGTTTTGCTATCTTTTTTTTTCCTTAAATTGCTATTTACTTGAAGAACTAACTAAAGATGGGGAAAGACAAAGAATTTGATAATGGGTTTCATTCTGACTCCAGTACCCTAAACTATATTGCCTAATGTATTTTAGATAGATATGTTAATTTATAATTCACTTGTATGATCAAATCATTTGAAGTAAATTGAAAGTAAATCATTATGTTGACTCCCTAGGGAACAGTATACCAAAAATATTGCTGAACAAGAAAACCTTGGAAAGGTAAGAATTATTATTTATTTTTTTACATGTGTCTAACTGATTCAGGCTTTCAGTACTGTACATGATTTATGACTGTCATTCTTTCCAAAAGGTTCTAGTACAGTTTTTGAGAGGAAATTGTTCATTCTTTTTAAAGATGGAAGACTTCCTTAAGAATTTAGTTTTACAGAAATAAAGGCACAATGGATTTTTTAAAGAAAAAATTATCTATTTTTAAATCACAAAGAGTTCATAATAATGTTCTGCATTACAGTTTTCAGATTATCCTCAGGCTGGGCACGATGGCTCATGCCTGTAATCCCAGCACTTTGGAAGGCCAAGGCCGGTGGATCAGTTGAGGTCAGGAGCTCAAGACCAACCTGGCCAACATGGTGAAACCCCGTCTCTATGAAAAATACAAAAATTAGCCAGGCATGGTGGCAGGCACCTGTAATCCCAGCTACTTTGGAGCCTGAGGCAGGAGAATCGCTTGAACCCGGGAGGCAAAGGTTGCAGTGAGCTGAGACTGGGCCATTGCACTCTAACCTGGATAACAGAGCGAGACTCCATCTCAAAGAAAAAAAAAAAAATTATTCTCAGATACCTTTTTATGCGATAGGTACAAATTTATTCATTTACTTTATTTAATAAACATAAAGTTCTTACTATGATCTAGGCCCTGGTCTAAGCCCTTTACAAACATTAATTTGTTTAATACAAACAAGTAAAAAACCTTGCTTGAGATACTCATCTCCCTCCTGCCAGAGTTACCTGATGGTGACTGAAATAGGACTGTATGATTATTGTTCTTAGTTCTCTGAGCCACTCCTAGAAGTGGTAGAGAGTAAGTTATGGCCTTGACCATCAGGACTTAAATGACCAACTGATTAGTTATTCTAGCTGACTTCATAAAGCAACCAATTTAACAAAGACACCAGCTTTGCATTCTTAGGAGAAAAAAAGAAAAAACATACACTTACTAATAATTAAGAGGAAAGATGACCAGTCATCAAGTGACTTGGCTTCACTCTTAGCCTTGTGATTCTAAACAAGCCCTCTAATCACTTTAGAGTTCATTTCCTCATATTTAAACTGAAATAGATAGATGAGCAGTGAGCAGAGATCACACCATTGCACTCCAGTCTGGGAAACAAGAGCAAAACTCCATCTCAAAGGGAAAAAAAAAAAAAAAAGATAGCCTTTGTTATCGAAATTTTCAAAACTGTATTTTAATCAATCCATATATATCCATCATCCAACTCTAATTATTAAATTCGTGGCCAGCCTTGTTTTATCTATAGTCTCATCCAGTACCTGCCCCCAATTTTTTTCTAAATTATTTTTAAGCACATCTCAAATTCTTATTATTTTATCTCATCACATTTCAGTATGTATCATAAACACTCTTTTTGAACATAACCACAATACCATTATCCTACCAAAAAGAATTTAACAATAATTACATAACATCCACTACCCAATGTTCAAACTTCACCATGATTTATTTGTTTAAATCAGGATCCTAACAGTCCATACATTGTTATTAGCTTATATCTCTCTTAAGTCTCTCTCTCTCTAGGTTACTCCCCCATCATTTTTTCCTTACAATTTTTTGTTGAAAAGAAAAAAAAAAAAAAACCTGATAATTTGTCCTAGTGGGTTTTCAACATTTTGAACTTTGCTGTTGGTAACCCTTTGGTGTCAATTAGCATGTTCTTCTGTTCCCAGTATATCCTGTGAATTGGTAGTTAGATCTAGAAGCTTGATTAAATATGTTTTGATATTTGGCAAGAATACTTCATAGATGGTGGTATGTACTTCTATCAGGAGGCTTTCTTCTTATGATGTAGACAGCCATTGATAATCATTTCCTGGATCCATAATTCATTAGAAAGTTGCACAGTGGTAACATTCTGATTATGTCATTCCTTCTTCATTTATTGGCTGGAATAATTCTGTAATGAGCAACTTCTCCTTATCTTCTATGTACTTACCCTGAGTTACATTCATATAAGAAAGATAGAATAACTGCTTGATTCACTGTTTACTGGTTTTCAAAATGATGAGTTGGTTCTTTATCGTCCTTCAAAAGTAATCTTATGACTTTTAGATTGAGCACATTTGATATGTTTCAATCTATTGTGATTATTAGTCCCATTAGTACTCAAATTTGGCCAGTGGAAGCCTCTGAAGTCAGCTTTTGAATCCTTTTGAAAAAACCCTAGTAGACTTTGATGACTTCTCTGTTTTCTGGTGTGACAAAATGTTCTAATTTCATACTGTACATTTTCTTTCTCAAACCTGAAATTAGCCATTTCTCTAAAAAGTGTTCACCTGTGATTTGTTAATAAATGACCATTATATCAATGAAAATAAATAAAAAATAAAAGGAAGCCTTCTCAAAGCTGATTCCTCAATTTACTGGGAGAATAGTGAATTCCGTGTACATTATTTCACTTATGGGATGACACACCATACTTAAAAGGAAAAAAAGAAATAATTTTCATATTTGAAAACATGTATGTGAATCAAGTTATAAACATTCATTTGTATAATTTTTTTTTTTTTTTTTTTTTTTTGAGACGGAGTCTCGCTCTGCCACCCAGGCTGGAGTGCAGTGGCCGGATCTCAGCTCACTGCAAGCTCCGCCTCCCGGGTTCACGCCATCCTCCTGCCTCAGCCTCCCGAGTAGCTGGGACTACAGGCGCCTGCCACCTCGCCCGGCTAGTTTTTTGTATTTTTTAGTAGAGACAGGGTTTCACCGTGTCAGCCAGGATGGTCTCGATCTCCTGACCTCATGATCCGCCCGTCTCGGCCTCCCAAAGTGCTGGGATTACAGGCTTGAGCCACCGCGCCCGGCCTGTATAATATTTTAACTAGAGATTTTTGGATTTGTAGGATTTGATATGATTGTCAAAATTGACTTTTTTTTTTTTTTTTTTTTGAGATAGAGTCTCACTCAGTCACCCAGGCTGGAGTCCAGTGGCGTGATCTCCGCTCACTGCAACCCCCACCCACCAGGTTCAAGTGATTCTCATGCTTCAGTCTCCCGAGTAGATGGGATTATAGGAGTGTGCCACCACACCCGGCTAATTTTTGTATTTTTGGTAGAGATGGGGTTTCTACCTGGTTAGCCAGGCTGATCTCGAACTCCTGACCTCATGTGATCCACCCACCTCAGCCTCCCGAAGTGCTAGGATTACAGGTGTGAGCCACTGCGCCTGGCCCAAAATGGACTTCATCCAAAGATTTCGTATAAAGTAATGTACTTTTTTCATATGAAAACATTCCTCTTTTTTTTTTCTGTTGCAAAGTATCTGGATGGATGCTGTACATACATAAATATTTCTCAAACCTGAAATCCTTTCAAAGACCCAACCTTAATTGCCAAATCTGATTAAAGATTATTTTCCCCCATCCAGTGTAGTGTTTTCTTGCAGGATCATTGGGAAAAGTGGCAATATAACATCAAGTATATTTAAGCAAGTGAACCAATGACTGGCTCATTCCCCAGATGTCAGGCTATATCATTTAAGAAACAAAGCTTCTTAATCCTCAAAGTTTTAGAGTAGATCTAAATTTTCAAGGCAGACAGAACAAACCTAGCCTTTCAAAGTGATGATAGTCTAAGCCCTCTAAGCCAATATAAACTAGGCATCCATAGACCTCCTCAGGCCAACTGAGTTTCCCCCCTTCTATACCACCACTTCCTCCTTTAAAGAACAATGAAATATGTGATTAGTGATTTTTGTACATTGCAACTGTAAACAAATGTAAATAGTAAAATTTAAAATATATACATACTAATGTCAGTTGTATTCATAAAGTTAAAGGTTTCAAACACACATGGTTATGAAGCAAATTAAATGTAATATTTCTGACACAGACAGTGCCCACATCCTGTCTTTGGTTCTTTAAATAACTTTTATAGGTTGTTAGAATTTTTTGACAAGGAAATTATTCCAATAATATAAGAAAAGTTACAGGTTAAGTAGTGCCTTAATTTAAAATCATGTGCAGAAGTCTTAAAATTCTTAGTCTGCCTTAACGGCCTTTCTAAATACTTTTTAGTTTATGAAGATAAAATATTTGTTGTAAGATACATTATTTATAACATAAACTTAAATAGATGTATTAATATGCCAGGTATTGCATCAAAAAATGTACTGGTTATATTTCTATTTTTAAAATTCTGTGTTCTATTCCTGTTTGCTGTTAACTTTGCTTTCATTATGCATAGCTGGGTGGGCAGTATTTTAATGGGTGGTTTGAATCTGGTCCTCAGCTTAGTTAATCCTCTTATTTGCGCAAGTACCAACGACCAGCATTCTCATTTGTGTCTCAGATCAACTAGTATATTGACCCTATGTTAAAAGAGGAAAGAATGAGGATGTTCCTGTGCACTCTGCCTCTGTGTCTCTGCTTGGTTTTCTGTCTGTCTTGGTAATTTTCTCACATTCAGTGTCAGTACAGGTATTTGTGACACACTGCGTTTCCCTCTATGTGCACTATCACCTTTTCTACCAAAATGTCAACTGTAGTTGTCTCCAGAGCATGGGATTATGAATGAATTCCTTTCTTTTCTTTTTCTTCTTCTTCTTCTTTTTTTTTTTTTTTTTTTTGAGACAGAGTCTCACTCTGTCACCTAGGCTGGAGTGCAATGGCACTCCAGCTCACTGCAGCCTTGAGTTCCCAGGCTCAAGTGATCCTCTTGCCTCAACCTCCTGAGTAGCTGGGACCACAGGCATGTGCCACCATACACAACTAATTTAAAAAAATTTTTTTTGTAGAAATGGAGGAGTCTCACTTCATTGCCCAGGCTGAATTCTCTCTCTCTTTTTTCCTACCTTGTCACCTATTGTCTCTGACTTTGGGTCTACTCTTGCTTTCAGTCACCCTTTCTCAATTTGCCATAATATGGAACCAAAGTATATTTTTGTAATGTATTGGAGATTCTTTTATTCCTGTTTAAAATTTTAGAGTCAATGCGTAAAATAGTTTTGGCAAGTGGACCGTCTAATATGTTAGTAACAAAAACAATTCTGAGAAGGATTTTGGCTTATTTAATAGTATACTATTTTTATAATCACTGAGCTTGCTCCCTGAAGTATATGTGCACACAATTTTATTTATTTGGACATAAATAGAGTATACACTGTTTCAGGATAGGATAGAATACAGCATTTAATAACAAGAATATATAAAATACATGATAATTTATCAAGTATTTCAATATCTATTATGTCACTTGAAAACATAATCTTATCAAGTAAATACTTTTATTTTCCCCTATTGTTAGCCTTGATTTGGTTTTTTTGTTGTGTTTTTAAGGGACAGGGTCTTGCTCTGTTGCCCCAGCTGGAATGCAGTAGTGGCAGCATAGCTCACTGCAGCCTCAAATTCCTGGCTCAAGTGATCCTTCCACCTCAGCCTCCCAACTAGCTAGGACTACAGGCACGTGCCACCACCATTCCCAGCTAATTTTTTAGTTTTTATTTTTGTAGAGACAGGGTATCATGTTACACAGGCAGGCCTTGAACTCCCCAGCTCAAGCGATCCTCCTGCCTCGGCCTCTCAAAGTGCTGGGATTACAGGCAGTGAGCCACTGCGCCCAGCTCCCAGCCTCCTATTATTCACCTTATTTTATTTTTTTTTCTAGCGACGGAATCTCACTCTGTTGCCCAGGCTGGAGTGCAGTGGCACGATCTTGGCTCACTCTGCCTTCCAGGTTTAAGCAATTCTCCTGCCTCAGTCTTCTGAGTAGCTGGAATTACAGGCACATGCCACTATGTCCAGCTAATTTTTGTATTTTTGTATTTTTAGTAGAGACAGGATTTCACCCTGTTGGCCAGTCTGGTCTCGAACTCCTGACTTCAAGTGATCTGCCCACCTGTATAGCATGAGTCCTGTTTTCCACTTGAAACTCCAAGCATACCTGACACATAACAGGTGCTCCATAATTATATCTTGAATAAATAAGAATTAGGTTTTAGTATATAGAATATACTGAGCCTGTTGGTTTCTTGAGAAATTTTTATGTATATGGAAATTCTAAAACAAAAGGTGGACATTTCTCAGGCTTAGGCTAATAAATGAATTATTTTAAAGCTATCTGAGCTATAACTATACATTATTCTTGAGTAATATGTCATGTACATCCTCCCAGCTGGTTTTCATTGGAGAACTAGAAAGGCAAGCAGTTTGACTGAGAGTCTCATAGTGGCGCGATCACAGCTCACTGCAACCTCCACCTCCTAGATTCAAGCCATACTCCTGCCTCAGCCTTCTGAGTAGCTGGAATTACGGGCACATGCCACCATGCCCTGCTAATTTTTGTATTTTTAGTAGAGATAGGGTTTCACCATGTTCATCAGGCTGCTCTCGAACTCCTAACCTCAAGTGATCTATCCGCCTTAGCCTCCCAAAGTGCTGGGATTACAGTTGTGAGCCACCACGCCTGGTCTATTAACCTTTATTGATAATTGAGAAAACTGAAGTCCAAAGAAATTAAGTGCCTTTCTTACTGCTAGAGGAGACAAAATCAAATTAAAACTGAAGTCTTCTGACTTCCAAACTCTACATTCTTCTTTTCACACCATGATACTGTTCCACTTTCCTAAGTATCTTTTTCTCTCACTTCCTTCTATAGTTTTGTGTGGTTTTTTTGTTTGTTTTTGTTTTCTGTACTTTTTTTTTTTTTTGAGACGGAGTCTTGCTCTGTTGCCAAGCTGGAGTGCAGTGGCATGATCTCTGCTCACTGCAAACTCCGCCTCCCAAGTTCAAGCAATTCTCCTGCCTCAGCCTCCCGAGTATCTGGGACTACAGGCACACACCCCCACGTGTGGCTAATTTTTGTTTTTTTGTGTTTTTTTGGAGAACTAGAAAGGCAAACAGGTTGACTTAGTGTCGAGGTTAGTAGAGATCTCGATCTCCTGACCTCGTGATCCGCCCGCCTCAGCCTCCTAAAGTGCTAGGATTACAGACATGAGCCACCACGTCTGGCCTTAGCTAACTTTTATAATCTTAGTTTTGATACATTATAGGAGTATGTGGTTTAGCTAACTATTATTTATCTAGTGTAGAAAACATACCATATTCCTCTGACTATAGCAGTAGAAATACGCCCCTGTAACTGAGATTTAATTATTCCTGTTTTTTTTTGTGTGATAGAAACTTCGGGAAAAACAAAAAGTTGTACGAGAAAGTCATGGTCCAAATATGAAACAAGCAAAAATGTGGCGTGATTTGCAACAATTAATGGAATGTAAGAAACAGTGCTTTCTGAAACAACAAAGCCAAACTTCCATTGGTCAGGTAATTCAGGAGGGAGGAGAGGACCGGCTAATACTGTAAATTGTGTTATCGTTTGGAGTTTTACTTGATACCACTAGCTATAAGCCTAGTCTCATAATGTATTTCTTTTTTGAAACTGATTTGTATAGCGTTTTGTTTTCAGATTAGCCATTCTTTATTAAGTTTTCGTAGAAAATAATGTTAAGGTAGATTTAGTTTTAATGTTTTTTCATATGAAAAAGAGGCTTTTATTATTTTCCATAGTTTAGACATCACTGGCATCTTCTGAGTTTTATGAGACAGGAAACTAAGTTTACTATCTGTAAATGTAAACATATGTCCATTAAGAAACATGTAGTTTTTTTTTAGGATGTAATAACCCAATGGCTTACTGTTTTTCTTAATCTTTTTTTAAAAAACTTTAGAAGAATCTTTTAGGAATTAGTATCTCTTGCTTTGAAGAAACGTTTATCTGAAGTTCAGCAGTTCGTACAGTTTCACTTCAGTTTATTTTTCTTCTGTAAAATGCAAGAAAATTTAATATTTTGACTAATGTGTTCTGTTTGTATAATTTAAAGGCAAATAAACTTGGTACATATTTTATGTCTATTTAAAAAATGTAAAGTTGTGTCAAAATGTATTCTTTTTAAAGTAAGTATTAACATCTAATATTAAATTGGAGGATTATTACTTTTCCTTTTTTTTTTTTTTTTGAAACTGAGTCCTGCTCTGTTGCCCAGGCTGGAGTACAGTGTCGCGATCTCGGCTCACTATAAGCTCCGCCTCCCGGGTTCACGCCATTCTCCTGCCTTAGCCTCCTGAGTAGCTGGGACTACAGGCGCCTGCCACCACGCCCGGCTAACTTTTTGTATTTTTAGTAGAGACAGAGTTTCACCGTGTTAGCCAGGATGGTCTCGATCTCCAGACCTCTTGATCCACCTGCCTCAGCCTCCCAAAGTGCTGGGATTACAGGCGTGAGCCTCCACACTCAGCCAGATTATTACTTATTTTCACCAAAAATCTATTACAGATTTTTTTTTTCTTTTCTTTGAGATGGAGTCTCACTCTGTTGCCCAGGTTGGAGTTCAGTGGTGTGATCTCAGCTCACTGCAACCTCCGCTTCCAGGATTCAAGCAATCCTCCTGCCTCCACCTCCCAAGCAGCTGAGATTACAGGCGCCTGCCACCACACCTGGCCAATTTTTGTATTTTTAGTAGAAACAGGGTTTCATCAGGCACAGTGGCTCATGCCTGTAATCCCAACACTTAGGGAGGCCGAGGCGGGTGGATCATGAGGTCAGGAGATCGAGACCATCCTGGCTAACATGGTGAAACCCCACCTCTACTGAAAATACAAAAAATTAGCCGGGAGTGGTGGTGGACACCTGTAGTCCCAGCTACACAGGAGGCTGAGGCAGGAGAATGGTGTGAACCCAGGAGGCAGAGCTTGCAGTGAGCTGAGATTGCGCCACTGCACTCCAGCCTGGGCGACAGAGCAAGACTCCATCTCAAAAAAAAAAAAAAAAAAAAAGAAAGGAAAAGAAACAGGGTTTCGCCATGTTGACCAGCAGGCTGGTCTTGAACTCCCAACCAACCTCAGGTGATCTGCCCACCTCAGCCTCCCAAAATGTTGGGATTACAAGCGTGAGCCACCCATGCCTGGTCTATTACAGATTTAATAATATAATAACCAGGGTGGGCACGGTGGCTCATGCCTGTAATTCCAGTACTTTGGGAGGCTGAGGCAAGCAGATCATTTGAGGTCAGGGGTTCGAGACCAGCCTGGGCAACATGACAAAACCCCATCTCTACAAAAAAGACAAAAATTAGCCGGCTGTAGTGGCACACCTGTGGTCCCAGCTACTTGGGAGACTGAGGCTAGAGAATCACTTGAACCTGGGATGTGGAGTTTGCAGTGAGCCAAGATCATGCCACTGTACTCCAGCCTGGGCAATAGAGAGCAAGACCCTGTCTAAAAAAAAATCATAATAATAATAATTGATAGTTATGGGAACTGTTATTTTATTTTATTTTATTTTTTCTGTGAGATAGTCTCTTGCTCTGTTGCCCAGGGTGGAGTATAGTGGCACAATCTTAGCTCACTGCAACCTCTGCCTCCCAGATTCGAGCAATTCTCTTGCCTCAGCCTCGTGAGTAGCTGGGATTACAGGCATGCACCACCACACCTGGCTAGTTTTTTGTACTTTTAGTAGAGACGGGGTTTCACCGTGTTGGCCAGACTGGTCTCGAACTCCTAAGCTCAAGTGATCCACCCGCCTTGGCCTCCTAAAGTGCTGGGATTACAGTTACAGGCATGAGCCACCACACCCGGCCTGATATTTTAAATATAAAAAAATTGTCATAGAATATAGATATCACATATTAAATGTAGCACAAGACTCAAAGTGAAATTCAAGAGTTCAAAGTGCTTCCAATCTCTGCTTCATTTGGACAAGGTACTTGAAGATTTCTTAGGTTTCCCTTAGAAAGATACCAAATTCATGTGCCATGCTTTACTTAATTTCAATTTTAGTAGTTTTTCAAAATATCTTGGCTTTAGATTTGAAAACTCAAATTTCAAATTGTTAGCATGTCCATCTTAGGCTAGTTCTTTTCAGTTGTCTTTAAATTTTTTTTTTTTTTTTTTTTTTTTTTTTTTTTTTTTTAGAGACAGGATCTTGCTCTGTTGCCCAGGCTGGAAGGCAGTGGTATGCAGTGGTATGATCATAGCTCTATGCAGCCTCAAACTTCTGGGGTCAAGCGATCTTCCTGCTTCAGCCTCCTGAGTAGCTGGGACTATAGGCACATGCCACCATGCCTGGCTAATTTTTTTTTTTTAAGAGATGCTATGTAAGCTGTTTTTGTGTCAGTATATAGAAATACCTGAGTCGGCCGGGCGCGGTGGCTCAAGCCTGTAATCCCAGCACTTCGGGAGGCCGAGACGGGCGGATCACTAGGTCAGGAGATCGAGACCATCCTGGCTAACATGGTGAAATACAAAAAACTAGCCGGGCGAGGTGGCGGGCGCCTGTAGTCCCAGCTGCTCGAGAGGCTGAGGCAGGAGAATGGCGTAAACCCGGGAGGCGGAGCTTGCAGTGAGCTGAGATCCGGCCACTGCACTCCAGCCTGGGCGACAGAGCGAGACTCCGTCTCAAAAAAAAAAAAAAAAAGAATAAAATTGTTTCTACCCTGTAAAAAATATGGATCTCTTTGTTCCCATGTGTGTCCTACTTTTAATTTTTGTTTGAAAGGTTTTTTATTGGTAATCAAAGAGCCTCACTAGCTAGAGATAATTGGTAATGCTAGGAGCTGTAGCAAGAAGAGATGGGGTCCATCAGAATAAGGAAGAACTGGACTTACCAGGAAAGTATGGAGAGAAATATCTTTTAAATTTTTATAAGGAAAACAGAAGCATTTCAGTGTTCATAAGTGATTTGAATTGGTCCTCTGCTTGTTTTATCCTCTTATTTGTGCAAGTATCAGCTGCCATCATTGTCATTTGTGCCTTTAGATCAACTAGCAGACCAGCAGTCCCCCAAAAGAGGAAAGCTGTGTCTCAGTGTGTAGAAACAAATCCTTAATTCAATCATCATTTTTTGGATAGCGACATAGATATATTTGTGTGGTGTTGGCTACTGGCATGTTGTTTTTAAGCCAATAGTAAGTGATGCTACTTTAAACAGAATATGAATTCCTTTGCAAGTATTTGAAAAAGACTAGATGCTCTTTATAGAAACAGCATTTTATTCCTCCAGAGGAAAGTCAGTTCATAAAATTATTAAGCCTAGTGATTATTTTTTAGCCCTTCACTGTCTTCGGTATTCCTCTTGATGTTCTTCACTGTCTTCGGTACTCCTCTTGATGTTCTTCACTGTCTTCGGTATTCCTCTTGATTTTCTTCACTGTCTTCGGTACTCCTCTTGATTTTCTTCACTGTCTTCGGTATTCCTCTTGATTTTCTTCACTGTCTTCGGTATTCCTCTTGATTTTCTTCACTGTCTTCGGTACTCTTCTTGATTTTCTTCACTGTCTTCGGTATTCCTCTTGATTTTCTTCACTGTCTTCGGTATTCCTCTTGATTTTCTTCACTGTCTTTGGTACTCTTCTTGATTTTTAAAATGGTTAATGACAGATACTCCACAGAATCCTTAGAATTCTACTGATTTGATTATTACTTGCCGCCTTTATTCCATACAGAAAGAATGTGTGGATTAAACGCAAAGGCAGCTCCAAATTACTTTATTCACTGAAGCAGAACATCATTATTACTTCAAGAAAAGCAAATTGAAAAAAAAAACTCTAAAAGTACAAAGTTATTTATAGATTGTATGTGACATTGGACATTTAGTAATGCAGCTTAATGGGTTTAGTGCAGTGACTTTCCACTCATTTCATGATTTGATTGGAACATTAAAAAGCTTTAACTAACCCTGACAGTCTTTGACAGCTGGCACTTACTGAAGAGCTTATTACATTTTTCCTTCAGGATTGATACTCTGGCTAGCTAATTGATCAGAGTACTTAATCATTTCAGAAACTAATTTGTCTTTCATGTGATGGCCCAAATAAAGGAGAAGAATGCAGCCTGTGAAATCTGCCTCTGTGTTCACAGATTTCCTTCTTCTAGTTGCCAGCTGTTGCATGGGACTGACTGTATAATTGTAAATTTCAAAAGGCCACTGCTTATCTTGCTTTCTGTATTAGTTCAGGAAACAATCCAACTTTAAATGGTGTCCTTTAAGAAGAATCTTATAATATGATAATGTGCTTTCTGTTATAAATCTATTAACAACTGAATTCCAAAGCCATGTATTTTCTAGGTCTGGGGAATGTACCAGAAGGGTCTTAGAACACTGTTCAAATCCATATGAAAATCAAACCAGAAATTGCAGAACACCTACCTTTTTCTTTAGATTAATACTTGCCCTTATTTTGCTCTAATTCAGGAGATAATAATAAAAGAAATTTCATTTAAACTATCAGATAAATGTAAAAATGTTATTTTGCCTAATTAACATTTAT